AAAAGACAAAAATAAAAAATAAAAAAATGAAAATTGAGGTCAAGGGCTGGAGATATAGCTCAGTGGCACAGTGCCTGCCTAGAAAGTGCAAGCTCCTGAGTTCAATTCCTGTAACAGGAAAAAATTAAAAAAAATAAATTTGAGGTCAAAATGGTCAAAAGGTGTTTAAAAGAGAAAAGAAAGAAGAAAGAAAGAAAATGAAAGTTGAAATTCCAGGATGGCTGCACGGTCATTGTCCACCTGGAAATATCAGAGGCCCGAATGTCTGTTCAATTGAAACCTACGGGGTTCACACCCCCGGGCTGCCGGATCAGAGCAGGCCTCCCAGGGTCCGCGGGGCCCGGCCACACGCACTCACCTGGAAGACCTCAGCGCTGGTCTTCTCATGCCGGCGGGCCAGCTCCTCCAACTGCCCCTCCAGCCGAGCCACGTCGGCCCGCAGCGCACCTACCACGCGTTCGTGTTCAGAGAGGGCCACGCTGCCCACGCGCTCCCGTTCCAGCTCTGCCCGCAGCCGGGCGGCCTCCTTGCCCGTGGCTACCACCTCCTGCTCCAGACTGGCCGCCCGGCCCCTCAGCTCCAAGGCCTCCTCCTGCAGCCGATGATGCTCGGACAGGGGCACCGAGGATTGCCGCAGGGCCTCCGAGGCCTCGCGCAGCTCCGCCAGGCCCTGCCGCGCCTCCTCACAGGCCGAGGCCAGCTCGGCGGCCCTGGCCTCGGACGCATCCCGCGCTTGGCTCAGCTCTGCAGCCGCTACCCGGTGCTGCTCCCCAGCGGCCGTGGCCTTGGCCAGCTGCTCCCGGAGCACTTCCAGCTCCCGGCTCTGCTCTAGCCGTGCCTCCTCCCGCTGGGCCAGCTCTGCCCGCAGACCCCGGGCCTCCTCCTCAGCCAGAAGCCTGCCAGCCCGGGCCTCGTCCAGCCACGACACAGCTGCCTCCAGCTCCCGCAGGCGGGAGTCCCGCTCTCGGAGGTCCTCCCGGGCCTGCTCCAGGGCCGCCCGCAGCTGGATTGTGTCGCCACCGCCACCGCCACCGCCACCGCCACCGCCGCCACAGCCCCCACCGGTCCCAGCTCCCTCAGCTTCACGCACCCGCTCCCGGAGCCTGCCTGCCTCAGCCTCTGCAGCCTCACACTTGCCCCGAGCGGCCTCTAGTTCAGCAGCCGCCTCCCGCTCCCGCTGCCGGAGCACCTCCTCCAAGCTGCGGATCCTGGTCTCCAGCTCAGACTGCAGCTTCTCGGAGGCCTCCGCAGCCCCAGGGTGCAGGATGGGCCCAGCAGGAACGCTTGCGGGTATGGCCTCCATACCAGTGGCCTCTACATTGGTGGCCTTCGACCCCATGGCCTCCATGTTTGCAGTGAGCTCTGCTCCCCTGGTACCAGCTGCATTGGTCTTCACTTCCGGTTGCATCCTCGCGACCTCGGCTCTTGTGGCCTCTGAAGCCGTAGCTGCACCTCCCGTGGTCTCAGTTGCCGTATTTTCTCCTTCTTCTCCGGTCTCCATTTCTATGGCCTCAGTCCCTGCGGCTCTGGCTCCCTCAGCCTCTGCTTCTGCACCCTCTGTCCCTGTGGCCCCAGCCCCTGTGACCCCGCGTTCTTCGGATGCTGCTTCCGTGGTCCCAGCTCCGGCGGTTTCCCTTCCTGCAGCACCCTCATCGCTGCTCCCAGCTCCGTTAATCCTGGTTTCTGGAACCACGGTGCCGTTCAGCTTTGCGTCTGGTGGCCCATTTGGGGTTGCCGAGGCCCCCGTGTCTGTGTCCTCCTCGTGTCTGGGGTTTTCCCGGGCCTCCCGCTGCTCTAGCGCTCGCAGGGCCTCGGCGTGCTGCCTGCGGAGCTGGTCAAACTCAGCCCGGAGCGAGTCGTAGAGGACCAGAGGGACGACCTCCGACAAGCCGTTCCCAGCCAGCTGAGTGTCATCCTTCTCGAAGTTCTCCAGGACCTGGCGGTGGGCAGGCAACCAGGCAGGGGCTGGAGTGGCCCTCGGGGGCACAGGGCAGTCTCGACACCTCCCCCATCCACCCCAGGCCCCGATCTGCCCGCAGCCTCGGTTCCCACCTGGACCTTCTCCATCAGCTCCTGGTTCTGTCTGGTGAGCGCGGCCACCTGCTCCTGCAGCGAGCCCAGGCGCTCCTGGGCTGAGGGGCTGAGCCGCTTGGATGTCTCCGCCCCTGCAGAGGGGGGTGGGGCACAGTTAGCCCTGGGGTTCCGGCCAGGGCAGTGGAGGCTCCGCAGCAGTGCACTAGGACCCCCAGAGCTAGCACCCCCAGAGCTAGCTCAGGCAGCTGGAGCAACTCAGAGGCGTGTGCAGACTCCCTCCCGGCACCCCGCACCCCGCACCCCCTGGCTCCACGCTCCAACCCCAGCCCCAAGAGCTCAGCGGGGCTTCACCTGGAAAATCAGGCAGCTCTCCCTCCTCATCCTGCAGCGTGGCCACATCGTAGCTGGTGTTCTCCCGCTCACTCTGGGAGTGAGGAGAGGCCAGGTGAGGGTCCTGCCCCCCCAGCCCACCCTCCCCGCCCTCCTTCGAGACTGTAGGGTTTGTATCCCTTTACAGCCCCCCACGAGTACTGGACTGGTGGTGTCTGTATTTCTTGTTTTTTTGTTTTTTTTTTCCTCCGGTACCGGGAACCGAACTCACAACCTTGCGCTTGCCAGGCAGACGCTTTGCCACTGAGCTAAATCCCCAGCCCCGGTGTCTGTATTTCTAAGTAACTACTATATCCTTTCCCCATTATTTTTACAATGCTGGGGATGAACTTAGGACCTATGTATGATAGGCAGGTGCTCACCACCGAGTGGTTCCCACCAGCCCTGTGCACCCTTTTTTATAGACAGGGTCTCACTGTATAATTCAAGCTGCCCCTGAACTCACTATGTAGCCCAGGCTGGCCTCGAACTTGCAGCAATCCTCCTGCCTCAGCCTCCCAAGTGCTGAGATTACAGGCATGTACCACCACACCTGGCCCTTGTGCACCCATTTTTAACACTTTTTTTTTGGTTTGTTTTTTGAGACAGGGTCTTGCTGTATAATGGAGGCTGGCCTTGAACTCACTATGTAGCCCAGGCTGGCCTCAGATTCATAGCGAGCCTCCTGCCTCAGCCTTCCAAGTGCTGGGATTACAGGTGTGCACCACCACACCCAGCTCAGTTTTTTTTTTTCTTTTGCTGTATAATTGTACAAATTCCCTCTTCCTTTCCCCCTTCTCTCTCTCTCTCTATATATATATCTATATATTTTGTGTGTGTGTGTGTGTGTGTGTGTGTGGTACAAGGGATTGAACTCAGGTCTACACTGAGCTATATCCCCAGCTTTTTATTTTTATTTTGAGGCAACTTCTCACTAAGTTGTACAGGCTGACCTCAAATTTGACAGCCTCCTGCTTCAGCCTCCCAAAATGCTGAGATGACAAGTGTGCATATTTAATACTGCATACACGTGTTTGCTGTTGTATTTGTAATGTTTGTGTGTTTGCTCATCCTTGCAAGGATGTATTTGGAGGTGTATCCATCCTGGCCGTGTGTGTTTCCAAGTGTGGTATCTGCCTAATTGGGTTTGTGAGGATGCTTGGCATGTATTTGCTTGTATGTGACACTATTACATGCCTGGTGTTGTCAGACCTGAAGCAGGAGAGGCTCCGCCCCCAGCTCGCCATAGTTAACCTCGCCCCCACCCTGACTCTGGCCCCGCCCCACCCACCGGTACTCTGCCAACGCTAGCCCCGCCCACCCCGACTCTGGTCCACCTCTGGCTCCACCCATACTGGCCCTAGCCCCACCCCTGGGCCCACCCACCATGTTTCTGACCCCGCCCCGGCTCCACCCCGCCCTGGCTCTACCTGGCTCCTCACCAAAGCCGGGCTCTGGCCTTGCCCTGGCTCCTCTCACCCTGGTTTTGGCCCAGCCCTTGACTATGGCTCCGCCCCAATCCCTTCCCCGCCCACAGGCTCGGGCCCACCTCCAGCAGGGACAGCCGGCTCTGCAAACTTTCCACCTCCCGTCCCAGGCTCTCCTTCTCCTCCTGCTTCTCAGCCAGCAGCTGCTGCAGCTCCTGCACCTGGGGGCGGAGGCGGCTGGCTCAGGCGCCCGGGCTGAGGGGACACCCGGCAGCCACCCCGCTCCCCACCCTCCGCGCCTACCTGTCTCTCCAGGCTGTGCACCGAGCTGGCCTCTGCCTCCTGCGGCTGACGCAGACGGGGGCACAGGGTCGGACCTGGGCAGGGGCCTCCCGGTCTCACCTGCTGAGGCGCCCCCACTGCACCCGCAGACATCTGTCCGTGCGGCTGCCCGCACCATTCCGACCCATCATTACAGGGATTTACTGAGCGTCTGCTGTGTGGCAGACACTGCTCTGCCTGCTCAGCACACTTTTACTGGGTGCCTACTTGGCCCAGACCCTATTTTGGGACCGCGCATTCACTCCCTCACTTGAACATTCATTCATCCGGTATATATCTTTAGCAAGGGGCCTTGTGAGCAAAAGAGGTCTGGGAAGAGGCATGGAGACATCTGGAGGAGCAGCATGCAGGCCGAGGGTGCGGCCTGTGCAAAGGCCCCGGGGCAGCACAGAGCCTGTAGCCTTGAGCCGGGCAGGAAAGGTAGGGGAAGTCTTCCCTGGAAGTGCACCCCTCGCAGGCCTGGCCTCTGCTCCCCTAACCTCATGCTTCCGTCGTTCTTTGTGCTGCTCCAGGCCCCGGATCTTCTGCAGGAGGCGGCCCCTCTCCTGCCGCAGCCGCACGATCTCCTCGTAGGCTTCTCGGTCATCCTGTCCTCTCCCCAACGGGGACCCACCACCGTTACAGGAGGCCTGAGGCTGCCCCTCGGCCTCTGAGCCGGAGCTCCAACCCCACCGGGGCTTCCCACCCATCCTCCCCGGGGCCCAGTCCTCTCACCGGCACAGGGATGCTGGCGGGAGGCTGGGGCGCCTTCCGCTTCTTGGGACCCCCTCGCTTTTCATGGCTGGACACGGAGTTCTGTGGGCAGAGGGGGAAGGGAGCAGATGGGGGCCACCCTGGCCTCCTATCCAGTGCCCCACCCAGCCAGCCCACACCCAGCTCTGCCATGCTGCCCTGTGGACTGGGCAGCTCCCGGCCTCTCTCCTGTCCCCACTTGCCCTGCTGCTAATTCAGCAGGTACGGGACAGGCAGCAGCGCATCCTCTCCAAGTCCTAACTCTTGTGTCTGTTTGTTTGTAGACAGGGTCTCACTATGTAGCCCAGGCTGACCTCAAACTAGCAGCGATCCTCCTGCCTCAGCCTCCTCAGTGCTGGGATCACAGGAGTGCGCCCTGCCCAAATTTTAAATCTTATTCTTGCTCCTGCCCTTCCATTGGCCTTGGTGCTTTCCCTGGCCGGACCAGATTATCTATCCCTTTCTTTTCCCTGTGGGGCTGAGATGCTCCGCTGGAAGGAAGACCCGGGCTCGCCTTTCTCTCACCGTACTGGCCCGCAGCAGCCCCAGTCCCCCAGCCACGTCCCGCCCTGTCTCGCAGGGTTCCCGCCAGCGCGAGGAGTTACAGTTTGGGGCAGCGGACGCCACTTGGTGGCAGCGTAGCTGGAAGCCCTCTGCAGACAACACCCCAGGCTCGAGCCGGCGGGGCGGGTACGCTCCTCAGGAGCAAGCGCGCGCACGGGGGAGGGGCCGCGCTGCGTAGGTCCTTACCTGAGACGAAGCTTCGCCGGAGTCCTCTTCTACAGGCAGGGGAGAGAGGCGGGCAGGGTCAGGCGCTGGTACCAGGGTCTCCGTTCCCAGCTCCAGACCCGCATTCATGGGGGTGGGAGCTCTCAACCTCCTGAGAATCAAGGCTTGTAAGGCAGGAATTATCACTTAAGCAGAATAACAGGAGGGACCTTGAAACTCTTACAGACATAGCAGCGTGGCATTTCCCAGAAGGGGGGAGGGGTGCCCCTTTTTAGGACCGCCAAAGCCCTAAAAATAAGGAAGATCCAGGAAATCAGAGTGGATCGCCAGACCACGCTAACTGTTCTGGGGCTTCTTGAAACCGCCTCAAGTAGGGGTGCCATGAAACCGCTCCTAGTACAGCAGATATGGGGCACCTTGAGACCACCGCAATAGGGAAAGAAAGGGGTGATGAGAAGCTGCCCAGAAGGGGATGCGGAGGCGGGCTTGCATACCGCTAGGTGGGGAGGGGCGATGGGCCGCCTCCTGCAGGAGGTGGAGGATGAGTTTGTCCCCTGCCAGCGCTCCGTAGTGAGCCGCGTCCTGGCCCAGCGCATCGGTGATGCCCGGCTGGGCCCCGCCCTGCAGCAGCACCTCCACTGTTTCGGGGCTGCCCCCCTCACAGGCCAGCATCAGGGCTGTCCTGCCAGGGAAGGGGGCTACTGAGGGGGTGAGCACATTCCCAGACCCCCACGCCCTCCTCAACAGCCAGGTAGTAGGAGGAGGCCAGACTGAACGCCCCCACCCGGCTCAGAGAGGTTTTGGACTTCCCGAAGTCACACAGCACAGGAAAGATGGCTTGACAGGGGAGAAGCTCACCGGCCCTGCAGGTCCTGGTCGTTCGCAGCAGCCCCCTGCTGTAGGAGGAGGCGGCATAGATCTGTGTGGCACATCTGCGCTGCCAGGATGAGGGGTGTTGCGCCCGACTGGTGGGGAACAGGAGCGGGGGATGCGGGAAGGTGAGAAGCTGACCCGGGAGGCAGGGAAGCCCACAGGACCGCCCCGAGCTTCACCCCAGACTTCCGAGCTCTTCGCAAAGGGGTCCCTCCGAATGCTGCCCTTAGTGACAGCGGACCTCAAGCGTAGTCCTGGAGATGCCGGAAGCTCACCCGATCTCGGGGGTTCAGATGCGCCTTGAAGGAGCACAGGAGCTCTGAGCAGGAGAGACAGCCACCGGCCGCTGGGGAAGAGGACGGGGCAGGGAAAAGGCGTAGGCATTTCTTGGGGGTCCACAGCCAGGACGTGATTCTTTTTCTCACAGTACTGAGAATTGAACGCAGGGCCTTTGCACTGAGCTATGTTCACCTTTTTAATTTTTATTTTGAGCCAGGGTCTCATTAAGTTGCCCAGACTTGTTTTGAACTTAACGATCGTCCTGCTTCAGCCTCCCACAGTGCTGGGATGACAGGCGTGTCACCACAGCGGGCAATACATTTTTCTTGGGTAGAGCTGGGGGCTGGGTTGCCCTTGTACCAGAACCATTGCCGCCACTAGGTGGCAGCATACTCCAGCCGCGGGAGACGTGCACAGCGCCCGGCCCCAGGCAAATGGACTTCAGGGCGTTTCCCTAAGAACAGATGCGTCCTGAGTCCTCGCTGGAGCCCTGCACCTCTCCGGCTCCGTGTGGTGTACAGAGCCTGGACCGGGTGCTGGCCCAAGTGGTTGGGAGCTTCCCCTCCCTCGTGGGACAGTGGACTCTGAAGCTTTGGGCTGGCCGGGGTGCCCTGGGGTTTTTGAGAGGTGTTTAGCTCTGGACGCCCTGCAGCCTTCTCTTAAAGGCCTCCGGGACACCAGGCTGTGCTCCTGGGTCAGGTGACCTGGGACCCCTCACCCTTTACTGTGGGAAGTGACACTGCCGCCTCCGTTCAATGGGCCTGTGTAAGGAGGTTTTGTAGAATTGAAGCTGAGTCCCGGCGTCCAGCACGCAGTAGGAGCTGGCTAAACGGAAAGGAGGCAGCAGGGCCCTATGCATCGGTGCACACCTGTCAGCCAGCACTCTGGGAGGCTGAGGCAGGAGGATCTCTGCGAGTTCAACCCCAGCCCGGGGAACTTAGTGACTTTTTTTTTTTTTTTTTTTTGGTCTTTTTGAGACAAGGTCTCGCTATGCAGTTCAGGCTGGCCTTGAGCTTACTTTGTAGCCCAGGCTGGCCTCAAACTCACCACGATCCACCTGCCTCAGCCTCCCAAGTGCTGGGATTACAGGTGTGCGCCACCACGCCCAGCTTTTTTTTTTTTTTTTTTTGAGACAGGTTCTCACTGTGCAGTTCAGGCTGGCCTCCAATTCACTAAGTAGCCTGGGCTGGCCTCAAACTCATGGCAATTCTTCTGCCTCAGCCTCCCAGAGTGCTGGGTTGACAGGTGTGCGCCACTGCACCCAGCACTTAGTGACCTAAGGTCTTTTTGAGACCTTGTCTCACAATAAAGAATTAAAAAGGGCTGGGAGTGTAACTCAGAGCAAAGGCCCAGAGTTCCAACCCCAGTAGCCTCCTTCCCCAAAAAAAGGAGACGGCAGAAAGCCCTGGTGAGGGTAACCCCAAGTGCAGCACACACCGAGCCACACCGGGCAGGCAGGCGGGGCCACACCCACCTGCGTGATGCAGAGCTGTCCACCCACTGCTGTCCTCGATGTCCACCATGCAGGAGGCCTGGGAAGGGAGAACGGGTCACATCTCTTCCCGTTGCCTGATTTTTCTAGGGCCCCTTTTCCCTCCCTCCTACCTCCTTGGCTTGGGGAGCCCATGTCATAGCCTCTGAGCGATTCTTGGCTTTTAGGAGGGTTGGTGAGAAAGAGGGAGTAGCTGGAAGTGTGAAGAGTAGCTGGGAGTTTCGGGAGTAGCTGGAAGTTCACAATGGGTGTGGCCAAAACACTACTTCAAGTTTGAGGAGGAACTAGTGCTCATGCTTGCCTAGTACTGGGAGTATATCTCGGTGTGAGATGTATCTGGACACTTGGGAGTATCTGACTGTCTAGGGAGTAACTGCAGTTCAGGACTAAAATGGGCCAGGGGATCTTAGGGTTAAGGGAATAACTGGAGGTTTGAGGTCTTGCTGGAACTCAGAGCAGTAGAGGTTGTGGGAGTATCTGAAGTTCAGGGAGTATCTGAGATAAGAAAGTAAGAGACCTGTAGCAGTTGCTTCAAACACTGTGGGTGCCCATACTTGGCGGCCAGGTGGAGAGCATTGTAACCTGAAAGGAGGGGAGGTTTACTACAGATACCCGAGGGGCTCCCAGCGGCTCCACGAACCTGCGTCAATCGTGATGGAGTTTCCCTGTGTCTGCATCTCATGGCCAGTGTCCCCCAGGCCCCACACATTCTGCTATTTTCTCAGGTCCTCAACTAACTCATGCGCCGATATTCCTTTTACTCCAACTACTCCTAGAGCTCCAGCTACTCCTAAATCCCAGCTGTTCTTCCATAACGGATACTCCCCTAACTCTACCTGTTATTCTCCTGCTCCAGAAAGTTCAAACTCTTCTACTCCCATGAGCCCAGCTTCTCCCTCAAACTCCAGACACTCCCCTACTTCCACCCATTCCTTGGTCTCACATCCTCCTGCATCCAAGATCTAGCCTCCCAAGTCCCAGATACTCCTTGGTCCCAGCTGCTTCCTCGGACTCAACCGAAGCCTGAATCCTAGTTATTCCCCATGGACAAGGGGTACCCTCCTGGCTTACTACCAACCACAGTGCCATCCTTGGGCACCACAGCCTGAAGTGCCCCTGTGCCTCCCTTGGGGCAGTGGCAGAAATTCCCTTCTTCCTGGAGAGGACACTGAGACCTCGAAGCAGGGCCTGCTGGAGTCTGGAGCTGGGCACCTGCTATGAGTTCCGCCTCCCACCCAGGGCCCAACTGACAGTACCTGCCCCATCTGTGCTCATGACATTGGCGCCCTGTGCCAGCATCACCTCCAGACAGCTGGCGGCACCACGCATGGCTGCCAGGTGGAACCTGGGGTCAGAGGTCAGAGGTCAGGGGTGACACCGAGAGCTTCCCCTCAGCCATGCCCCTGGGGAGGCACCGGCACTCACGCAGACTTGCCCTCGGGGTCCAGCTTGGTGGGCACCAGCCCCTTTCGGGAGATGAGCGCGGCGACCCGGACCGAGTCGTTGTTCTCCACGGCCTGCAGCAGCCGTTCGTCGCTTTTGCCCCAGTCCTGCCCCTGCGGGTCACACCCAGAGGCATGTGGGGCCGGGTGGGTGCTGCCTCCTCCCTGCGCCCCCTGGCAGGGGTCCCAGCTCTCGCCGCCCGCCCTGGGCACTTGCCTGGCGCCTGCCTCTGGCTGCTGGCTTCGGGATGGGGCAGGGGCCACAGGGCGGGCAGGAGCCGAGGTTGGCGGGGTTGAGCCGCAGCTGCCAGGGGAGGTGGTCCTGGGCGGGGGCCAGAGACAGCGTCTCCCATGCCTGCGCCCCCGGCATCCACCCCGGGCCCATTGTCCCGGCTGTCACCCCAAACCCACTGCCAGCGTCGGCCTGGTCAGCCTCAAGATCTGGCCCTAAGTGTCCACAAACCTAGTCCCCAGTCACCCCTCAGGATGAAGGGACATGGACTCCAGCAAGCTGCTCTGCGTCTCCTCCCCTAGGTCCCCTCTTCCACCTGTCTCACAGGTGCACCTGCCACCATTACACCCTTAATGTCTCAAGACCTGTTCCCCCAAATGTTAGCCTGAAGAGCATTCTCAGATATCTCCTCCATTGTCCACAGTGTTCCCCAAATTATCCCTTCCAAAAAAACCAAAAAAAAAACAAAAAACCAAGCTGAGTGAGGTGGCACATGCCCGTAACCCCAGCCCTTGGGAGGCTGATGCAGGAGGATCGCCACGAATTCAAGGGCAGCCTGGGTTACACAGTGAGTTCCAGGACACCTGGGACTACATACCGAGACCGTCTCAACATCCCAAAAAAACTGTTCTCCAAATGTCACTATATCTTCCCAGGAGGCCCCCCAATAGCCTCATATTGTTCCCCCAAATGGCCCATCTAACTCCAATACGGGCTCCCCAGACTGTTCCCCCAAGGTCCTCTACATCCTTCTCAGCGTCCTCGTCTGTCCTCAGAACTGTCCTTGTGTGTTCCCGAATGCCCCATCTTTCCCCCAAGGGCTGGCACCACTCCTACTCCCTCCCGCGTACATCTCTCTTGGGTCTGGGGGTGCGGGCCTCGCGTAGTTGGGGCGGGGCGGGAAGAGGGGGGAGGAAGGACCAGTGTCTCGGCCCCCCTCCCCCAGACCCCCGCCCTCAATCCCCCTCCCCCCCGCCGGAGCCCTACCGCAAAGGAGGCGGCTGCGCACAAGCACAGCTGCTTCATGGCGTCCAGGGCGCCGGCCAGTAGGGCGGCGGGGCAGCGGGGGTCGGGAAGGCGGCGGGCCAGAGGGATAGGGCGGGGCCAGAGCCTTAGCCCCGCCCCAGAGGCGGCACCACGCCCACTCCAGCGTGGCCCCGCCCACCCAGAGCTACTCAGGAACGCCCACTTATCAGGAAGTCGGCTTTGGCTATGCCCCGCCCACTCTGTCCCGCCCACCGGCTCCTCCCATGCCAGCACCTCCCCGCCCCAGTTCACCGCAGCACTGCACACTCCGCGAAGTCTCCTCCAGGGTGGCGCCCGGGCCCCACTCCCACCCCCAGGGGCTTAGGAAGATCCAGGGAAGGTGCACAGGACCTGACTTGACCATGAAGCAGATGCGCTGAAGGGGGCCCTGCCTCTCACCCGAAGGCTGCACACCCAGACTTGTTGGGCTCGTTGGACATTCTTGTGTCCATCTCCCTTCCAGCTCCCAGTAGAATGGGCGGGGGTGAGGGGAGCAGATGTCTCCAGGCCTAGGACGCCACAGGCCCAGCCTCTGAGAGGTACCACCCCACACTTGCTTACTCTCCTTGGCATTTATTTCCTCTCATTCCTTCTCCGATTCATTCATTCCTTCTCCGATTCATTCATTCCTTCTCCGATTCATTCATTCCTTCTCCCATTCATTCATTCCTTCTCCCATTCATTCATTCCTGCTCCCATTCATTCATTCCTGCTCCCATTCATTCATTCCTGCTCCCATTCATTCATTCATTCCTGCTCCCATTATTCATTCCTTCTCCCATTCATTCATTCCTTCCTGCTCCCATTCATTCATTCATTCCTGTTCCCATTCATTCATTCATTCCTGCTCCCATACATTCATTCATTCCTGCTCCCATTCATTCATTCTTTTCCCATTCATTCATTCATTCCTTCTCCCATTATTCATTCCTGCTCCCATTCATTCATTCCTGCTCCCATTCATGCTCCCATTCATTCAGTCCTCATTCATTGGGCACCCACCTGGCTGCCAGATGGAACCTGGGGTCAGAGGTCAGAGGTCAGGGGCGACACTGAGAACTTCCCTTAGCACATTCATTTGCCCATTTATTCACACATTCATCCACCATTCTTAACTCATTCATTCATTCATTTGCTTGCACATTCATTTACCCTTCATAGTTCATTGAGTCAATCATTTGTGCATTCAGCCATTCTTCACTCATTTATTCATCTGAGCATTCATTCATTCTCCACTTATTGCTCATTCATTCAGTCAAGCACTCATTTACTCACACTGACTCACACTCCAGTGCGGCTCTGCAGAATCCAGTGCCCTCCACCGTGTACGTCTCCCCAAGTAACTGGGTCCAGAGACTTACCAGCTGCCAGCCTCATTGTCCTTGTCTGTGGAGTGGGTGAGACAGTATACATAAAGCACTGCCCATCACAGTGCCTGGCATACAGTAGGCACACAATAAAAACTGTGACTTGGTCATCAAATAAAGATCCAACTGGGCCTGTACACCACGCTAAGGCTGGGCCCTGGGGACAGGGAAGGATGTAGGATGTAGTAGATGCTCAGTTAAACCCATTAGAAGACAGAGAGGGTCCAGTCCTGGGCCTGGACTCCAGGGCCTGGGAGGGTCTGTGTCGCACCCTGGAGCAGGGCCCATGCGGGCATCCCTGGCACTCAGGCGGGCCCCCTGGATAGGTCAGGGTGGTTGGTGTGTGGGGGCAGAGTTAATGAAGGGCTCACAAGGCCACACCCTCTGGTCCACAGGCATTTCTTTGCTTCAGTCCACTAAGCACTAGAAGGGTGTTGGGTGCTGGGCGGGGTGCTGGGAAGCAGGGGTGCTGAGACAGATGGCCCTGCTACCACCGAGGGCCCCTGGAGAGATGGACGCGTGCCTGCTACGGACCTGGGAACCGTGGTGGTCGTGGGGCTGATGTGGGGAAGGCAGGGTGGCACCCTGGAGGAGGACGATGGAGTGGAAATCTGAGGGGTGGGCATGGGCCAGGCAGGGACAAGGTGACACTCAGGAGAAGTCACTGCTTACCTCATCATGCAGGTGCCTCCTCCTTGGTCCCCAGCTCCAGTCTCCCCCGACCCAAGCTGGCCCCCGGCCCAGCCAAAGGCCCCTGTGCGCCCCTGAACCAGGCCCCTTCCCACATGGCCCCACCTTCCCTTCAGGGTGAAGCCAAGCCCTCCTGCAGCCCGATGGGCCTGTGTGTGCAGGTGGCAGAGAGATGAGACACCAGAGCTAAGCAAGACTTACAGGGGTCCAGGAGCCCGCAGGGGCCCCAGTGCTTCGCGTAAGACAGGGGAGCAGGGGCTGGCAGAAGAAAGGCGTCCTGGGCAGGACAGGGGCCCAGGGGTGAGCGGGACTGAGGGGCCAGTGCACTTCTGGGAGGGGGCAGTCCGGCCTGGTGACTGGCAGCCAGGAAAGCTGGTATTGCAGCAGAGAGGTGGCGAGGCGCGGGGGAGGGAGTCCAGAACCAAATCTAACAGCAGAGGCCCCCTGCCAACTGGTGGAGCTGAATCCAGCTTGACCATGCTATACCTGCTGTGTGACCTTGAGTCAGTCACCTCCCTTCTCTGGGCCCAGTGGGCTAAGTAACAGGATGTACACGGCGGAGGTCTCTGTCTCCCTTGGCACTCTGGATAGGACAGGGGCCGTGCGTGCTCTGTGGGAGCACCCTGGGCACTGCAGGGTGCCGAGCCCCACGCCCAGCCTCCACCCTATCCAGGTCAGGAGTTCCCCCTTTCCTGACAGCCACAGATGTCCCCAGACATGTCCCCATGTCCTGGGCCGGGGCTCGCACACTGGAGAGATGTGACGATTTCCCAGACACCTGGGACAGGCGGGGTGGGGGCAGGGCAGGTAATCGAACCTCCTGGCCCAGGCCTCCGGTTTCAGCGGCTCCTGGACTTTTCCTCCTCCATCCCTGAGCGCTCAGGCCGTGCCGCCTCTCAAAGCCCGAGGCAGGGTGCCTTGGACACTGCTGCCAGTCCCCCCCAAGTGCTCCCCACTCCTTGTCTCTGCTCCAGTCCTTCAACCCTTTCTTCCCTTCCCCACCAGCAGCCAGAGGCCACCTGCTAACCCAGCAGCAAGCAGACGGTGTCCGTCCCCCACTCAGATGCCTCCAGGGACCTCAGCATAAAGTGCCGATTGTGGCCAGGTGCATACCCGTACTTGGGAGGCTGAGGCAGGAGGATCACTGCAAGTTGGAGGCCAGCCTGGGCTACCTAGCAAGCTTAAGACCAGCCTGAACAAGGAGCTGGGGATTTAGCTCAGCAGCACAGCATCTGCCTGGCAAGCCCAAGGTTGTGAGTTCAATTCCCAGTACTGGGAGAAAAAAAAACAAAACAAAACCCAAAAGACCAGCCTGAACAGAAAGACCTTGTCTCAAAAAAATAAAAACAAAAGAAAGTGCCAGTTGTCACAGCTGCCCAAACCCTGCTTTTGTACAGCCCAAAGCTGAGAATGTTTTTATGGTTGTTAGTGACTGGGGGAAGATTAGGTGTGGTGGCACATACTTGTAATCCTAGCACTGAGGAGGCTGAGGCAGGAGGATCACCATGAGTTCAGGGCCAGTCTGAACTACATAGTCCTGTCTCAAAAAAAAAAAAAAAAAAAGTGACTGGAAAAAAATTAAAAAGAATTATTTGTGCCCTGTAAAAAATGGTATCAAATTCAACTTCCAGCAACCATCAATAGATTTTTGTGAGCATGGTACGAGGAATTGAACTCAGGGCCTTCGCACTGCGCTCCATCCCCAGCCTTTTTAAATTTTTATTTTAAAATGGGGTCCCACCCAGAGTCTAGGTAACCCCAAAGGTCAGATGGAAAACCGAGGGCCATCCATGTCCGGGCGGGCAGCACAATGGCGCCACCTCGCGGCGACTCGCAAAAGCGCGGCGCTCTCGCCGCAGACGCAGTGAGGACCGCACGCCCGGCAGATGTGGGGCCCGCCAGCCACCCGGAACGCGGGTCCCAGGGACACCAGGAGGCCGCGCCACAGTCACGGTATTTGCTTTCTTCCCTCGGGGCTGCTGCACAAAAGCTTGAACCTGACTCTGCTGTCTGCTGCGAAACCGGAGAAGGGCAGGCCAGGAGGGGGGAGGTGGACAGGTGCCCGCGGGCGGGGAGGACGGAGACCGGAACACCGTCCTCTCGCCACCTGCGCCCTCTGAGACCTCACACCACCTTTTATTTTATTTTACTTTCATTTTTTTTCTTCCAGTACTGGGGATGGAACCCAGGGCCTTCACACTGAGCTACATCCTCTGCCCTTTTTAATTTTTATTTTGATACAGTGCCTTATTAAGTCCCTAAGTTGCCCAGGCTGGGACTCAACTGGAGACCCTCCTGCCTCAGCCTCCCAGAGTGCTGGGACGACAGGCATACATGGGCCATCAGGCCCCTAATTCTGTCTTTTTATTAATCAATGCACTTTCCCATCTCCACTCTCCCCATGCCCAGCCCCGTTCTTAGTAACACAGCCACGGGGGAAGCCAGGTGTCTCACTCTGTGGCTGTGTGACTTTGACCAACTTCCTTAACCTCTCTGGCCTGCCCTCTTCGTCTACAATGTGAGGATAATCGAAGCTCTGACCTCAGCGCATGAGTGAGGGTTAAAGAGCCAACAGGTACAAAGCACATCATAAGCTCCTTCAAGTACTCAAATTCAAATAAATAAAAATGAAAAAAGGAGCTGGGAATGGAGGAAGGAAGGAAGGAAAGAAGGAAGGAAGGAAGGAGAGAGAGAGGAAGAAAGAAGGAAAGAAAGAAAGAAAGAAAGAAAGAAAGAAAGAAAGAAAGAAAGAAAGAAAAAGAAAGAGAGGTAGGCAGCTGTGGCTGGGTGAAGTGCAGCCCGGTGAACAGCAAGGCGGAAGGCCGGAGAGGCAGCCTCACTGTGACCCTGGTGCGGACCTCTGGGGTCATAGTCTGGTGGCTGGAAGGCTGAGACCGGAAGCAGCAGGCAGGTGAGGGCGGCCGGGGCAGCCGGGGTGGCAGGGAGGAAAGGAGGCTGGGTGGGAAGAGGGTAAAGGGGAGGACTTGGGCTTGTGGGTACTGGGGAGCCACAGAAGGTTCCTGGGCAGGACAGGCCCCAACGTAACAAAGATGCCAGAAGACGACTCCATGAGCAGCGGGGGACAAGTGGGATCTCAGCCTGGTCCCAGACACAGGAACCTCTGATTGGGCACGTCGGGCATGAGACTCACCTCCGGCTTCTTAAATCTCGCGCGGAGCGTCTTCATAGCCAGCGCCCGGCCACCTGGGAGAGGAAGGGGCAGAGCGCGTGAGAGACCTGGCCCCGAGGAGCGCGATATCCTCCCGCTCCCAAGACGAGAACCACTGCCTCCTCCCGGAGCAGCCTGGGCTCCCAGAACCGGATGCAGCCTGCTGCGTCCCTGCTGGAGCCCTGCAAGCTATTTGCCTTCCCTGAGGCTCACTTTTCTTGCCTAGGAGGGCAGATTTTATGGGTGGAGTTATTTCTGCCAAGGCAGAAATATCGTTTTCTCTGATGAACTCCTATTTGTCGCCTACAACCCAGTTCCAAAACCCCATGAGCTGATCAACTGTGCTTCAACAATCAGGGGCTTCCTGGGAGCTGGACACAGAGCTGAGGTGTCTGCATTGTGTGTGTTTGCCGGCTATTCAGACAGGAGACCCTTGCAGCTAAGCCCTGTGCTGGTCACCCAGGGCAGGTGCAGTCCGGCTGACTGCCATACGCGTGTGTTCGCATCCCTCCACCTGGACTGTGTTCTGCGCATGTGCGGACGTGACCGTCACGCTATGCCGTAAGTGCCCGGCGTCCTGCGCAGGACAGGGGCCTCTGTGAGGTCCTCGTCCGCCTCCCAGCGGGGGCTGCAGCGGGGGGCCTCCACCCCTCTGCCTGCCGGGGACGCCCCAACTGCTCCTGCCCGCTACTACGCACCTGGGGCCCTCTTCTCCCGCCTATCAGCCAGACGTCCGCCCGCCTGCCACTGCCCACCCACTGCGCCACCAGCTGCCGGTTTTCCGTGGCCTTCAGCCACGGCTGTCCACCTCCCCATCCACCGCTCTAACACCGTCCAGCCGCCCCCCGGCCCCCCCTCCCACCCAGCACCCGCCAACGCACCATCCTCCCACTCTGCACCCAACCACCCGCCGTCCCTCGGTCCACCCGCCGACCACCGACCCACCCATCCACCCGCTCGTCCGGCTGCCATCCATCCGCCAGTCCGTTTCCCACCACGCCCATCCATCCATTTCTCCGTCTGTCCCCCCAACCATCCGCTCCCCCACCCCGCCCACCCGAACGTCCATCCGTCTGCCCACCCGCAAACGTCTGTCCATCCGTCTATCCACCCAGCTCCCCGCCTCTCCACCCCCCCACCCAACACCCACCAACCCATCTGCCCATCCACCGCCAGCCCCTCTACCAACCAAAGCGTCCACTCACTCGCCAGCCACCCGACCCTTTTCCTCTGCCCCTGACTAAAGAAACCTCAGTCACACGTGGAGCAGGTGTGACAAGACGCCCGCGCAGTGCCCTCGGGTTGCCTGGGCGGGAGGGCGCGGCGGGTGGCGGGGAGGGGCGGCGCCCTCAGCCCAGGGGAGCTGCTTCCTAGGAGAGGTGGTGCTGGCCGCGCAGGGCCTGATGGCCGATGCGGCGCTGAGCAATGGTGGGAGACAGAGACACATCCTGCAGACCCCCGAGGCTGGGGGGCAGGCAGGGTGCGCGTGGGTCAGGTCAGGACCCAGTGCCCACCTCTGCTCTGCCCCGCACACGAGGGCTCCTGGGCCGAAGGGAGCCTCCACCAGGCCCGCACCCTCTTCCTGTCCTACCTCCCGCGGCTCTAGTGCCGAGCACCTGTCCCCAGCCCAGGTGGCTCCGGTTACCCACTCCCAGCTGGGCCGCGCTCGCACCAGTGCGGCGGTGACACCCGATCACCCAGGGGGCCGGGGACAGCCAGGGAGGAGACAGCTGGCGGTGGGGCTGCTGTTGGCCCTCGGGCTCGGGCGGGAAGACACCCAGCCTCTCCCCTGCTGTCCACGGACTGATCTCAGCTCCTGGAGCGAGCTCTCCCGCGCCCCCCGCCTTGGCGTTCGCAGTGTCCTCTCCCGGGAATGCTTTTTGTGCCCCTCGTGTCACCCGCAGTCTGCTCCTTCTTCCATCTATTTGATTTTCTTCCCTTTTTTTGGTACCGAGAATCGAACTCGGGGCCCCACGCTCGCCAGGCAGCGCCGTGCCGCTGAGATACATGCCCGGCCCCTTCTTCCGTGTAACTCCTACGGTCCTCAGCTCTGTGCTCCACACCCCGCACCCGCTTCCAGGAAACCTCACTGCACGTCCCCAGCCGGGCCAGGCGCCTCCCCTGAGCGCCCTCGTGCCCTGCGCCCTCTGTGGCTCTCAGCACACCCCACTCCCGCTGTCTCCGCTGCCTCCTCACACACGGCAAGCTGCAAAGGTAAGGACGGTGCTGTTTTTGCTGCTTCACATCAAGCAAGAGCTGAACACACGTCTCCTAACTGGGTCTTCCAGGCCACCAGCACCAATGGCCTTGATCAGCTTCTCCGTCCTGCAGGGGCAGCAGGGCTGGACCTGCAAGATGCAGATCCCCATCCTCCTGGGTTGTGCTCATGCAAAGCCCTCTTTTGCACCAGGGTCCTTGGTCTCCACTGTGTGAGACTGCCTGCTTCCTAATGAGTAAAAAAGTGAAAAGGGCCATTGACTACTTGTTCCCCTCATTTTAGAGGTGACCGGAAAACCTCTCTCCTGGGTAGCCACCCCAGCTTCCCGTCCCAGTCTTTGGGCAGTCCCCTCTTAGTAATTGCGAACATATTCAAATAGGCTTTTCTATTCCAGTACTTAAAATGGCTCCGACAGCGTCACCAGAAGGCGCATGCGTGGTAGAGGAAGCAGCAGGTCTCACAGGGTGGAAATACGTCTCCTCCTTCCCGGTCCCGCCCCACTTCCGGCGGAACCAGCCTCAACAAGGGAAACTTTATTGTTCCCGTTGAGGCAGCGACGATGTCGGTGAACTACGCAGCGGGGCTGTCGCCCTATGCGGATAAGGGCAAGTGTGGCCTCCCCGAGGTGAGTGCGGCGGGGGATCCTCGAAGGTCGCCTCCATGTCCACGAGCTGGGCAGGGCTGAGCACAGGCACCTGGGCATTGTAGAAACATCAGGAGGCACTTGAGGCTAGACAATGGGAGGGACTTCCCAGAGAGCGGGGCGCAGGGGGCGACACCACCTGAGCGCCCTGCGCGGGCCTCGCCCAACTTTGAGTCACCTGACTGGGGCCACGAGAGGGACAGGGTCGGGGACTGGCTGGTGGGCTGATGGGGAGGAGGAAGGAGTAGTTCCAGGACGGGACTCCGATGCCAGACCCTGGACAGGGCGTCAGAAAGGTCCTTCCAGCCACTAGGATGGTGACGGGGAACCTGTTAAAGCTTTCGGTGAGAACAGGCTGCGAGCGGCGGCATTTGTGCCACGGGTTCACCAGCGCCGCACTAGGAGGAGAAGCGCAGGGAGACGCCCACAGTGGGGCCTGGAGCGAGTCACCTGCCTCCTGGGACCCACGGGCTGGTCCCTTCATTCTGAGGTGCTTGTCCGACAGTCTACTGATGGACTGCTTTTCCTAGGACTGTTTTTTTCTTGTTGTTTTGTTTTTTTCCGGTACCGGGAATCGAACTCAGGACCTCACGCTTGCCAGGCAGGCGCTGTGCCGCTGAGCTAAATCCCCAGCCCCTTCCTGGGACTGTTATTTACTTTATTCCACAAACATTTCCCGAGCACCTACGGCAGCCCAGGCTTTATCTAAGTGTTGAGGTGTAGGCAGCAAACAGGCCAAGTCCCTGTTCTGTGGAGAAGACAGACAAGAGGTGCATTGAAACCAGGTGACTGGGGGAGGCATCAGTGTGGTGACACTGGGGCCGAAATCTAAAGGAAAAGGAGGAGAGAGCCATGGGAAGCTAGATCTGGGGAAGGAACATTCCCGGTGGAGAGCATGCCCTGTGCAAATGCCCTGGGGCAGCATGGAGCCCAGCACTGTACAGTAGCATCAAGGAGCCTGCATAGCTGGAGCAGAGGGAGTGAGTGGCAGAGAGGGAACGGGGGGGGGGGGGTCATACAGTTCTCTGTGCTGCAGGGAGGACTTCGGCTTTGGTCCGAGGGAGGTGGGGGCCATGGAGGGCTGAGGGCAGAGGAGGGCCATGAGGACGAGCTGCCTTTTCCAGTTCATTCTCCTCCCTGAGTAAGGGGAAACAGTCAGGCTGTGGTTCTTGCCCTTGCCACCTGGGAGACACATTTGGACCCCTCCATTCCTGTCTCCCACCAGATCTTTGACCCCCCGGAGGAGCTGGATCAGAAGGTGTGGGAGCTGGCCAGGCTGGTCTGGCAGTCATCCAATGTGGTGTTCCACACAGGCGCTGGCATCAGTACTGCCTCAGGCATCCCTGACTTCAGGTCTGTGAGCATGGAGGGGAAACTGGGGTGGGCCCGCCATCGTGCCAGGGGCTTCCCTGCAGCAGCAGAGCTCATCCCACTGCCTTTCGTCTGAGTACCTAGTACTAGGGATGGGAAAGACCCATCCATGAAGTTACAGCCAGCATCCTACTTCCCTCATTGGCTAGAACCTGGTCAACTGATCTGAATCCAGCTCCAAGGGATGCTGGGAAAACCTGATCACCTGACCTTACCTAGTGCAAAGGATGTTGAGAAAACATGGTCACCTGATCTTACCTAGCCGCAAGACATGCTGGGAAATGTATTTTTTAGACAGACAGCTGACCACATGCTTGGATTGAATTACCATAGGGAAATTCAGTATTAGGGACTGTTAATTTCATGCACACCCAGAAACATTTTCCTATAGGAGTTGGTGTCAGGTAAGTGGCTTTACCTTTGGGAACTCTTTCCTCACCCCTAAATGAAGGTGTGAGACCATATACCAATTGAAATCCCCACTGCATCTAACAGCCTGTGTTAGGCAAGAGTTGTTGGTGAAAAGCAAGGGTCTTGCCGGGCGTGGTGGCCCAAGCCTGTAAACCCAGCACGCGGGATGCTGAGGCAGGAGGATCGCCAGGAGTTCAAGACCAGCCAGAACTACGTAGTGAGACCCTGCCTCAAAAAAACGAAAACAAAACAAGACCTCAGCATCACCCAGCCCGGGATGAGGCTCAGGGCAGCAGCAGTAGCCAAGCGTTTGCTGAATAAATAATTAAACACTGCTTACCTGTACATCCCCCCACCTCTCCCTTTTTCTTTCCATCTCCGCCCAATTCTGCCTGTCTTGCTTTCTCTCCTTTCTCTCTGTCCTTCTACGTCTCTCTGCATCCGCCAATCTCTAATTCTCTCTTTTTGCCTGGTTCTACCCCTGCGTCCTTCTCTCTTGTCGCCGCGTCCGTTTCTCTCCCATTCCGTGTCTCCCTACCCCTCTCCCCGCCCCGCCCGCGGCCGCAGGGGCCCGCACGGCGTGTGGACCATGGAGGAGCGGGGCCTGGCGCCCAACTTCGACACGACCTTCGAGAGCGCGCGGCCCACACGCACGCACATGGCGCTGGTGCAGCTGGAGCGCGTGGGGCTGCTGCGCTTCCTCGTCAGCCAGAACGTGGACGGGCTGCACGTGCGCTCCGGCTTCCCCAGGTACGGCGCCCCCTCCCCGCTCCGGACACGGCCCCCCTCGAGCTTCGGAGCCCCGCCCAGCACCCAGCACCGCCCCGGCGCTGCCCCTAGGGGCCCTCGGATGCCGCGGGGCATCGCTGGCTGGGGCACCCTGGCCCTCAGGCTCTGCTGCGAGGATGTTGGGGCTGTCAGGCAGGTTGTAGAGTTTGCAGTTTGTTTCATTGTTGTTCACCATTGAGGATGGAACCCAGCGTCTGCACACTGAGCTCCATCTACAGCCATTTTTAAATTTTTTTATTTTTGGGCCTTTTTGAGATAAGGTGTCCTTATGCAGTTCAGGGTGGGCTTGAGCTCACTTTGTAGCCCAGGCTCGTCTTGAATTTGCTACAATACTCCTGCCTCGGCCTCCCAAGTGCTGGGATTACAGGGGAGCATCACCACACCCCGCCACACCTTCTCAACATTTGGGAAATTGAATTCCTGTCCTTCCAACCCAGCCACACTAGGTTCCCTTCCTCTTACAGAGGGGCGTGGCATTTTGTGAAGGGAATGGGTGCCTGCGGGCAGAGGTGGGGTCGGTTGTGTGGTTAATGATCCCTCAGGCTCAGAGAGGTTGAGCTCCCTGCCCAGGGGTGCACAGCATGCAGACGGGGCATCAGAGCTGGAAGAGCAGACAGAGGGCGTCAGTGGGCTCTGGATGAGGGCCTGGGGTGGTGTCCCTGAGGAGGGAGGGTATCCGGGGAGCCCTCCCACCACTGAGCCACTTCCTGCCTGCCCCCAGGGACAAACTGGCGGAGCTGCATGGGAACATGTTCGTAGAAGAATGTGCCAAGTGTAAGATGTGAGTGTCACGTGGCGGGTGTGGGGGGACTCTGCAGCTGGCCCTGAGGTCTGTCACAGTGCAGGGGAACCTGCACAGGCCAAGCAATGGCCCCAGGGTCCAGGGGCATGAGGAGGAAGGCCCAGGGAGGAAGCAGAGTCAAGCTTGTTTCCTGGGGCTTCAGAAGCGGGTGACTGAAGGGGGGCGAGGGCTCCAGTTTACAGAAGTGACATCTCATGGGGTTGCAGGCCAGAAGGCCAAGGCATGGTGGCTGGGGGGCTGGGCCCTCAGAAACTCTCGGGGCAGCCCTCCCTATCTCCCTGGTCCTGGTGGTGGCTGCAGACCTGGCTTTAAATCGCTAAGTTGCCCACATTGGGCTTGAACTGGCAATCCTCCTGCCTCAGCCTTCTACCATGCTGGGATTATAGGTGTGCGTCGCTGCACCTGGCTGTCTTCTCCCTTATAAGGATGCCAGTCATGGACCCTCATCCAGTGGGGTCTCATTTTAAATCTGCAGAAGACAAGAACTGTATCATCAACTTGTGCTGAACCTAAGCCATGGGTCCGTAGGCTTTTGTGTAAAGGACCAGGGTCAGTATGCCCAGCTCCAGGTGCCAGCCTGGCTCCACTGTGACTGCTTCTCTGTGCCAGCATCGTGAGGAGACCACCAGAAGCAACCTGCAGACATGCCCGTGGCTGCGTACCGACAAAACTACAAAACTCACAGGCTGAGAGCCAGCTGTGAGGAAAGGGCCACGGCTTGCTGTCCCTTGACCTAGATTCACCCGTCCTGAACATTTCGCCACACGTGGTTTCTCCTTCTCCTATAATTAATGCCATTTAAGAGCAGATCACAGTCTGGGCGTGGTGGCTCACACCTATCATCCCAGCTACTCAGGACACTGAGGCAGGAGAATTTCAAGTTTGAGCCCAGCCTGGGCGACTTAGCTAGATCTGTCTAAAATGCAAAAGGCCCTGGTTCCGTCTCTAGCACCACCCAAAAAAACCACAAGAGTTGCCCACGCAGGGCTGCTGGCGGGCTCATCCACCCTTCTCCTCCTGACACAGGCAGTATGTCCGGGACACAGTCGTGGGGACCATGGGCCTCAAGGCCACTGGCCGGTTCTGCACAGTGGCCAAGGCACGGGGACTGCGGGCTTGCCGGTGAGTGACTGTCCCTGAGGCCCAGACACCCATGGGGCAAAGGGCGCACTGACCCCTCAACTTGCCTCTGCAGCGGGGAGCTGAGAGACACCATCTTGGACTGGGAAGACGCCCTGCCTGAGCGGGACCTGGCTCTCGCCGATGAGGCCAGCAGGTCTGATGTCCCTGCTTGTACCTGTGCTGGGGGTGGTGGACAGGCCAGGAACAGGCAGAAACAAGCTGGCCAGCCTGCAAGGCTGGGGATGGGCTTGGAGGTTGGGTCAGAAAGGCTTCCTAACCCAGCATGTACACACGGCTGTCATCCCAGCACTGTAGGAGGCTGAGGCAGGAGGATGCCAAGTTCAAGCCCAGCCTGGGAAATTTAGTGAGACCCTATCTCAAAAACTAAAGAGGGTTGGCGAGAGAGAAAACCGGGGCTGTAGCTCAGCTGCACAGAGCCTGCCTGTCAAGCACGAGGTCCTGAGTTCGGATTTCCCGTATCAAGAAAAAAAGAAAGGCAGGCAGGCAGGCTTCCTTCAGCAGGACTTCCCCTCCCCCATCCGTCCTCATGGCCCCAGCAGCTGCTGCTGGAGGGAACCAGGGCTGCAGCAAAACGAGTTTTCTGTGCAGACCCGGCACACACAGTACTGCTGCCAATGCAGGGCCGAGGTCTGCCGTCCCCACCCCCAGGCTGTTGGGCAGAGGGGAGGGCAGGGGCAGTACCCAGGCCTTGGCTGGACCCCAGGGCCACCTCTGGGTGTTGGCAGGAGGAGCCAGCAGGGCCTCGGCACTAAGCCGGTGTCCTGATCCCTGTCCCCAGGAACGCGGACTTGTCCATCACCCTGGGCACCTCCCTGCAGATCCGGCCCAGCGGGAACCTGCCCCTGGCCACCAAGCGCCGAGGCGGCCGCCTGGTCATCGTGAACCTGCAGCCCACCAAGCACGTAGGTGCCCAGCCACCCCTGCCCCGCCCGGTGCCCCCACACCCCGCGCATGCCCCGCCCTGACCCTCCCGCCCCGCAGGACCGCCAGGCCGACCTGCGCATCCACGGCTACGTGGACGATGTGATGGCCAGGCTCATGGGACACCTGGGGCTGGACATCCCCACCTGGCACGGGCCCCGTGTGCTAGAGCAGGCACTGCCCCCGCTGCCCCGGCCGCCTGCGCCCAAGCTTAAGGCCAAAGACGACAGTGACGAAGACTCCACGGCCCACCTCAATGGCTATGTGCCCGCCTGGCCCAAGCCCGAGCCATGCAGCCCCAAAATGGAGCGGCCCGACAGCCCGGCCCCTCCCCGGCCCCCCAAAAGGCTGAAGGCTGAGGCAGTGCCCAGCTGACCAGTGGGCTGGGGAGGGCGGGGAGTTTTCTAGGAACTGCGCGTGTTTTGTAACGGTGTCTCTTTGGTACTTGGCTTCGTCCCCCGGGCCCTCAGGATGCTGAGAGCTGGGCGTTCTCCCCCACGTGTGGCTCCTCTGGCTCTGGGACATCCGGTGGGGCCAGGAAGCAGCCACCCCCAAGGCTGCCAGCCCAGGTGTCCGCTGGCCGGGGCCCCAGCCTCTGACTCAGGGTGCGCCGGGCAGGGTGGCCGGGCCCTCCCGTTTTCCGGCCTGCTCTGAATGGGTTCCGCGTCCGCTGGGACCCCTTCCTTATCTCTCGATCTCCTCCAAGACACCTTCACGGACCCTGAGGAGGGGAACACGGGAGCCTGCACCGGCTTCCTGCCAGCTTCCCGGGCGCCACCAGGGCAATAAAAGCAGAGCTCCTGTCCTGCAGCTGAGTGTGTTTCAGGCCCCTGTGTGGCCAGGCGGGGTGGCACACGCCTGTCAATCCCGGCTGCTCTGGAGGCTGGGGCCAGAGACGGCAAGTTCAAGGTCAGCCTGGGGAACTTAGCAACTTAGCACGACCCTGTCTCTGTAAAAAATAAAAAGTGCTGGGACCGTAGCTCAGCGTGAAGGTCCTGGGTTCCTCCCCGGTACTGAAAAAAGAGAAAGCAAACATCCGCCGTCTCCTTCCAGGCTCTGCACCCCTTTGCTGAGAGAGCCTCTGTGGGGGCCCCAGCAGCTGCTCACCGCCCACCGCAGAGGCTCCACCAAGGCCCCTCGGCCTCCCCAGCGTGTGCTTGGGTTTCCGCTGGTGCTGCCTCGGTTTCCTCATCCGTTCATGGGGCGCCTCTACCTTATGGGCCCCTGGCTCCCTGGACCCCCCCGCTGCCGCCCCAGCCCCATGGGGACCTGGCCCTGCCTGGCCCTGCCTGGCCCTGCCTGGCCAAGCCTGTCCTTTGGGGAGACCTGGGAACCCGAAACTCCTCTCCATTTCTCTCCCCACCACGGCCAGCCGTGTTCTGTCAAAATACTTTATTCAGGCTCGGAAAGTCTTAGAAAAGGGGGTGCTCGTGGCTGTGGCCACACCAATGTCCAGAGAGGTTCCTGGGGTGCTGGGGCGCCAGGAAGCCCCAGGCGGGCACAAGGGGCCTTTCTGGGGTGCTTCTCAGACTTTGTCCTCTGAGGCCTGTTTCAGGGGCCGTCGGTCCTGGGTGCAGCTGTGAACTTGAGTGTCCCTGCTGGACGCTCCAGCCCCACGCCCCCAGGGTCTGTTGCTGTCCATGCCAGGGCCCTTGAAGCGCCCCAAGCCCAGGGCCCAGGGGTGCTCAGAGCTCCTCCCCTGCCGCCTCCAGCCCCGCATGCCCGGGGCTCAGCACCCACTCTGGCGCCACCCAGCTCAGCACGGTGGCCCAGCCCAGCTGCCCCGTCGAGTTGCCCAGGGCCAGGCTCGAGTTGTCCAGCTCTTTCGTGGTGTTACCCAGCGCCGGCTTGTCCAAGAAGCCCCCCAAGTCTGCCCCCAGGCTGCCTGGGGACCCTTGCTGGGTTGCGGTGTCTGGCTGGGAGCCTGGGGTGTTGGGACCTGATGCGGTGTCCCCCGGGGCCACGCGTGAAGCTGCGTCACTGTGCAGTGTCCTGGAGAAGACTGAGTGGAGTTTGGGGGTCAGGAGGGATGGGATGAGGATTGCAGTCCTGTCCTTACCTGATCCCTGGCAAGCTCAGGAATCACTCTTTCAGGGGTCTCCTGCACCCCAGGGATTGAGGGTGCAGAGGGGACTTTTTTTTTTAATACTGAGGGTGGAACCCACAGCCTTTGCACTGAGATACAACCCCTGCCCTTTTTTGGGGGGCGTGGTACTAGAACTCAAACTCAGGACCTTGCACTTGCCAGAGAGGCGCTTATGCCACTGAGCTAAATCCCCAGCCCCTCCCCCTTCCCACCCCGCCACAGGGAATCGAACTCACAACCTTGCACTTGCCAGGCGGGCGCTATGCCGCTGAGCTAAATCCCCAGCCCCTCCCTCCCCTTTTTTATTAAGTCAGAGTCTTGCTAAGTTGCCCAGGCAGGGCTTAAACTTGGGATCCTCCTGCCTCAGCCTCCCACAGTGCTGGATGACAGGCGTGTGCCCGGCACCAGGCGAGGAACACCTACCTCGTACGGGTGCGAAGTCCCCGGGGCTCTCAGCTTTGTTGAAGGCGAAGGGGCTGATTGATGGGAGGATGATGAGGGCGCATGACAACAGCAAGACCTGCAGGAGATGGGCCAGGGTCACCCCATCCCTCCTGTGCCCAGAAGGGGAACTGAGGCACAGGAGAGCAGAGGATCAAGCTTGCGCTGGACTGAAAGTCTGCTCCCCTCCTGTGCCATCGCCACGACCCCCCGCTGAGGCCGGAACCCCCCACTGTGCCGGGCAGGGACTCACAGCGATGCAGGTGCCCGTCGGGGCGGACTTGCCAGTGGACTGCACCACGAGCGCCTGGAGTTTCTTCAGCTGCTCCAAGAGGGACCTCAGAGGAAGGAGAGGCCGCAGTTCTCACTGCATAGCCCAGGCTGGCCTCAAACTCACAGTGATCCTCCTGCCTCAGCCTCCTGAGTGCTGGGATGACAGGCATGCGCCACCATACCCGGCCAAGGTCCTCCATCATAATTGAAGTCAAAGTCCTCCCTGCAGCCCACAGTCCCCTCTTCACCTCCCCTCCTCCCTCTGCTGCAGCCACGCAGCCTTCTTACTGTTCTGTACCATCGGGCTCCATGCTGCCCCAGGGCCTTTGCACGGCTGTGCCCTATATGCTAAGGACACTGCTCCCCTAGATACTGTGTAGCTGGTTCTTTCTCATCCTTCTCAGTGAAGCCTCAGGGCCTCCCTGTCTGCAGTGACCCCTCCTGGCCCTCTAACACTTGACCCCATTTGGCTTTGCTCCCAAGCAGAATTATTGTCTAGGATTTTGTGCGTGGTGAGCACATCACTCCGTGGACTGTGGATCCTCCCAGTAGAGAGACTGTCTGCTGCTCTGCTCCGTGCTGTGGCCCCATTGCCCAGAACTTTGCTGGGTACACAGCAGAGGCTAAATTAACATGGAGTAAACAGGTGTACCTCTTCTGTCACTGGGACAGAATGAGGTGTAGCCTCCAGCACAACTCACTGCCAGCCTCTACCTGGTGCATACACTGTCTCCACCACCTTCTCCCTAGCAAACTCTTACACACCTGTCAAAACCCTTAGTCCAAATCCCCTCTCTGCAGCCTGCATCCTTCATTTATTTATTTATTTTTTTGTGTGTGTTTTGTTTTTTTTGGTACCGGGAATTGAACTCACGACCTCGCACTTGCCAGGCAGGCGCTGTGCTGCTGAGCTAAATCCCCAGCCCCAGCCTGCCTCCTTTAGAGACAGACCCCTTACTCCTTGCTCCTTCCTGCTGCCTCACGACCCTCTGCCATTCACCCCACTCTCCTGCAGGACACTCGGGCTGCCCCCCTCGTCCTTGGCCCTGGCTGTGCACGGACTCACAGATTCTGCTTCTCCAGATGCAAGACCTTCCGCTGCAGCTCCTGGTTCTGGGTGGTGCAGGCTGACATTCTGCAGGGACAGTGGCATTCAGATGTACCGGTCACCCCATGGCCCTGTGGGCAGGTCCCCAAGAGGCCCACTTTACAGCCAGAGGACCCAAGGGCAGAGACAGGAAATCACTTATCAAAAGCCACCCAGCAAGGCTGTGACGGGACCTGGGTTTTGTTCTGTTTTGTTAAGACTGGGTCTCACTGTGTTGTTACCCAGGCTGGCCCTGAACTCCTGGGCTCAAGCGATCCTGCCTCAGCCTCCTGAGGAGCTGTTTAGGGCCAGGATTCAAAGCCAGATCTGTTGGTTTCTGGGTCCCACCTCTGCACTGGGGAGAGGGATCATCAAGGTGGAGCCCCGGCGTTGGGAAAGAATGCCAAAATCACAGTGACCCTTCTGGGACCCTGAGACTCAAACGAGACCACATCGCAGTACTGCCTCCCTGGGACTTTGGGCCGCTTCTGTGTCTGGTCTCAGTCCCCTCATCTATAGAATGGGGATGCAACTGGGTGTGGTGCCACCTGCCTGTAATCCCAGCACTTGGGGGGCTGAGGCAGGAAGAGCTCAGGTTTGAGCCCAGCCTGTGCAATTTACCAACTTAGCAAGGCCCATCTTAAAAACTAAAAGCAGTTGAGGGTATAGCAGTAAAAGAAAGAAAAAGAAATCAATGCATTAAAACTACAGTTGGATAGGAGGAAAAGGCAGAAAGTCATTATTAAGTAAAAAGAAAAAAGTACACAAATCCCTGGCAAGACTGATCAAAAAGTGTACGGCAGAGAGAAGCACAAATGAACAGTATAAGGAATTAAAAAGGAATAATTGTAGGCACTGCAGAGGTTAAAAATAATAGGAGCTAGCTAAGAATAATTTTACATGAATGAATTTGAGTGGACAGCTTCCCAGGAAACTCTGGCCCCCGCAGACCAACTCGGGAAGAAACAGAAAAGCCAGCAGGCCTGCATCACTCAACAAGGTCATTCTCAGGTCAAAATGTGTGCTGCTTCTACGTTTTCTTTTTCTTGGTCTTCAACTGAGCTATTTCCCCAGCCCTTTTCTGGTTTTTCATTTTAAGACAGGATCTTGCCAAAGTGCCCAGGCTGGGCTCCAACCTGAGATCCTCCTGCCTCAGCCTCCCAGAGTGCTGGGATGACGGGTGTGTGCCACCAGAGCCCAGCTGACGCCACATCTTTATCCAGGGGAGAAAGCATCCCTGAAGCACGCCCCCCCTAATGTCTTTTCCTCCCTCTGACCAGTAAGAGAAGAAAGGTAAGGCCCTAAAAACTGCAACGTCAGTCACACTGCCGTCCTTTATCTGGGCTTCCGTTTCCCCGTGAGTGTGAAGTCCAGGCTCCCAGCATTACCGGGTCTCCAGGCCGTCGATGTATTCCTTCTTCTTTTTCCTGCTTTCTTGAGCCGACTGTTTGTTGCGGATTTTCCGGCGGATCTTTTTCAGCACGCGCTCCTCATACTGCCAAGTGACATGGGGTGCGGACCAGGTCAGCGGGTGTCCTCAGTCCTTATTTTTTATTTCGACATAGGGTCTCTTTAAGTTCCCCAAAATGGGCTCAGACTTGCATCCTCTTGCCTCAGCCTCTAGAGTGCTGGGATAACAGGTCTGCACCTCGCTGGGGTCCCTCCAAATCGTATAAAATTAGTAAAGGCCACCCTCGTTGGCCTTGGTGCCGCAGCGCCACCGTGTGGCCATCTCTGGGATCAGCACCTTTCCCACAGCCAGCCCCTTGGACTCATTACTGTCTTCAAATGTAACAGCAAAAACAGCTTTAGTGGTACACTCCCGTAATCCCGTGATCCCAGCATCCGGGAGGCTGAGGCAGGAGGATCGCCACGAGTTCGAGGCCAGCCGGGACTACATCCCCAGACCCTATCTAAAATTTAAAAAATAACACCCACAACTGCAAACAAAATGAAGTATTGGCGTTGAAAGGAACAAGCCAGTAGGACTGCAGCAATCGAAACAGCCCAAGCAGCTATTCGGCCTTCCACTGTTGCAGGGGGAACCTGGGAACAGCAGGCTGTGGACATTGAATTTTTATGTGCAGTTGCCTGATCAGAAAACGTTAGCAACCAGTTCGACCAATTCAAGGGTTGCTAAAATGCACAAGATCCTAATGAAAACATGTCTACAGGCCATACTTAGATTTGGGACATTTGTTTTGTAAGCTCTGGTGTAAAAAGGGCAATAGCAAGACATGTCAAGCCAGGCACGGTGGAGCACACCTCTCAGCACTCTGGGAGGCTGAAGCAGGAGGATCCCAAGTTCAAGCCCAGCCGGGGCAACTTAGCCACTTAGCGACATCTTGTGCTGCAGGTTCTGGATTGAATTTAGGGGGGCCCTTGAGCTGATTTTCTGGATCCAGAGACAGATGTGCTAATCTTAGTGTGGGCAGCCTAAAGGTGAGCCCAGTGGGCAGGTCATACGGGAAGACGGGAAAGCTGGGGCCAGGGTGTCCCCTATGCACCTTGGTGAGGGGCAGCTGGGTAGGCAGGGCGACCCCCTCCTTGGCCAGCAGCTTCTTCTCGTCCTCCGTCAGCACCAGCTCCTGGCAATGGCCATTCCCGGGTCGCAGGAGGTAGGCGGCGGACAGGTGCTGCTGCTACAGAAAAACCAGGGGAATCACGTTGGACACGGGCTGAGCAGGAGCCTGGGGCCAGGAAAGAGGCCGCACATCTGAGAAATGATCAATCCATCAGCTGCAGAACCCCCATGGCAACAGGGCTCAGAATACCCACATACTGGCCCCGGACCCGGCCAGCCATCTGCTTGCTGAAACTGAACCTGCAGAGAGCCTCCCGGGGCCGAGGGAGACGCGTACAAAAGTTGTTCACAAACATCACTGACGTGGTGCTGGGGATGTAGCTCAGCAGCACAGCGCCTGCCTGGCAAGCATGAGGTCCTGAGTTCGATTCCCAGAACCAAAAAAAGAAAAGTCACTAACAGCTACTCCTGAGCACCTACTATGTTCCAGGCACTGTGCTGGGCTGTGAACCCTCACTGCAGCACAGCCAAGTAAGGAAATGACAGGAAGGGAGAACAACAGCCAGCAAACAGAGCGGGTTGGGAAAGCACGGCCCGTCCATGCCATGGACCCAGGACTACACAGTGTGGGGAAGGAGGAGGACAGCCACCTCGTCCTGAGATGGGCAGTTGCTGACATGAAGGGTTACATTAAGAAATGAAAAAGCACCCAGGGGTGGTGGTGCATGCCTGTAACCCCAGCACTCAGGAGGCTGAGGCAAGCAGATCCCTGAGAGTTTGAGACCAGCCTGAATTATACAGCAAGACCTTGTTTCAAAAGAGGAGGAGGAGGAGGAGGAGGAGGAAGAGAAATAATGAGGGAACAGCTGGACATGGTGGCACACACTTGCCATTCTAGTATTGTAGGAGGCTGAGGCAGGAGCATCCCAAATTCAAGCCCAGCCTGGACAACTTAGTAACTTAGTGAGACCCTGTCTCAAAATAAAGAGGACTGGGAATGGGTCTCAGTGTGTCCTGCATTCAATCCCCACTACCACAAATGAATAAAGAAATCAGCAAGGACTGTTATGTGCAGTACATTACTTTTTTTTGGTTTTTATTTGTTTTTTTGAGACAAGGTCTCACTATGTAGTTCAGGCTGGCCTTGAACTCACTGTGTACCCCAGGCTGGCCTTGAGTTCACAGTGATCCTCCTGCCTCAGCCTCCTGAGTGCTTGGACGACAGGTATGCACCACGACACCCAACATGTCTAATTAAGGCTGGCCTTGAGTTCACAGTGATCCTCCTGCCTCAGCCTCCTGAGTGCTTGGACGACAGGTATGCACCACAACACCCAACATGTCTAATTAAGACAACAAAATCCCTATCTTCAGGGTGGCTGTGATTCTATAAATAATAAATCAAAAGCATTTAAGCTGGCTATGGTGACACATGCCTGTAATCTCAGCATTTAGGAGGCTGAGACAGGAAGATTGCTGTGAGTTCAAGGCCAGTTTGGGCTAATAGTGAGACCCCCATCTCACACAAAACAAGCCTGGGCCACGATGCCTGGCTTAGGTGATTTATTTTTAATTTTTTTCTCTAGTCCTACCTATAGTGGACAGTGACCAAGGCCAGGCCACAGTAATGGACCCGGAACTGGTACCCACTGGCTTCTCTGTCCCCTTTGGCTGACCCCTGTCCCTCTTAGTGACTTGTTCTTGCAGTCTCTGAAGCAAGATGTCTGTGTCCCTGAGCCACCCACTCCAAGGCCGGGGCCCAGCTGGGGTGTTCACCTGGTCCCCGCTGCCACCGGCCAGCAGGAGCTCCTTCACGGTCAGGTTGAAGCGGGAGGGCGAGCCGGCGTGCTGCTCGGGGTAGAGGCCCCCTGCACTCCACATGTCTGCCGGGAGGGAGGAGACGGACAGGGAGGGCTCAGGTGGGCGGCCGCGGCCCAGCCTGTCCACATCAGCCCGGGAGGGTTGCCACTGCTCTCCGTGCCCCTGGGCCTCCTGCCGCCACCGGGGATGGAGTGCAGTGTGCAGCCCTCAGTTCAGTCTCTAGCACTGAGCAAAGGAAATCCAATTTAAGAAGCGTATGACACCGTCAGAGGCCCACTACCCACCCAGAAGGGAGTGGTGAGATTTGCAGCCGTCGGGCAGGGACCAGGCCAGGTTTCCCCCTAGCTCCATCCCTTCGGTGCCCGGCACACAGTAGGCTCACAGCTTTTGAGCACACACTCAGGCCAAGGGGCCTCAGCTTCGATCCCGACTGGGAGGAGCTGGGTGACCTCAGGTAAGTGACTTCCCGTCTCTGAGCCTCCGTCTCACCAACTCTCCAGGAAAAGAGCCCTTCATCAGACTAAGGGACAAAGGCCACTCAGCGGCCACGTATCTCCACCAGGGCTGTGCCTGGCCCATCACGGGTCTCGATCGATGTCCCCGGAGTAAATCATTATTGATCTGGCATCTGATACGGCCGTACCCTAGTCCAGAGGAACAGCTTGAGGCCCGGACACCTCATAATCTCTTCCCTTTTATTTTTTTCTCCTTTGCGGTGCTGGGGATGGAACCCAAGGCCTTCGCACTGAGCTCCATCAGCAGCCCTTTTTAATTTTTTATTTAGAGACAGGGTCTCACTAAGTTGCTAGTTGCCCAGGCTGAGCTTGAATTTGGGATCCCCCTGCCTCAGCCTCCCCAGTGGCTGGGATGATACGCGTGGCCAGCTTGGTTCTGGCTTAACCTCACACACTCTTGTCACCCCATTTCCAGAATGGGCCCAGGAGTGGAGTGAGCTCTGGGACCCTCCGCCCCTCCCAGGGAACTCACCCAGGTCTATGGCCACAGAGGCCTCCGGCACCTGTGTCCCGGGAGGCCTGGCAGGACCTGAGGGGCCGGGGAGGTAGGAAGGGCAGCAGCCTTCAGCGGAATGGCAGCTGGCCGGGGTAGTGCCTGGCCCCCCGCCACGTGGAGGGCTGTCCTGGGGGTCGGAGGGCAGGTCGTCAGAGATGCCGCTGTCGCTGGCCGCAGGGGACCAGGTCGGGGAGCTGGAGGCTGAGTCACTGGGGCCCAGGATGGAGCTCAGGAAGTCGTCGGAGTCTGAGCCTGGCGGTGCCTGCTGAGAGGCAGAGGAGGGGTGGGAACAGGATTGCTGTGTGACCTGGTAGGAACTGCCAGCCCTCTCTGGACCTCGCGTCCTTTCTCAAGCTAGAGCTAAGGCTCCCTCCTCTGAGGGTGTTTGGGGCTGGAATGAAATAAAGCCGCTAGCAGGGAAACACTCCACTTGGCGGGAGCCCCAGGTTTGTGTTTGGACTTGGTTCCAAGCTGCTGGCTGTCTCTGAGCCTCCACCCGCCCGCCCGGAAGAAGGAACGGACGCCAGGGCACACACGTTGTTCCCATGGACCAGCAGCTCACCTGGTCCTTGGCAGCGCGGCCCCAGCCGTCGGGCAGCTCCACATGTCGCAGGATGCCGTCCTGCCTGTCAAAAAGGAGGTCCAGGAGCTCCAGGCTGTCAATGGGACCCATGGCACAGGCGGGCGATGCCATCTGGGGCAAAGAGACAGGTGTGAGGCCCGCAGCTCCCCACCCTGCAGCTGTGCAACCCCGGGGCAGGAGCCCAGCTTTTTTTCCTTT